ACCAGACTCGAACTCGTATAATGGTTCAGTTCGAGTTCGGTTCGAACTTCGAACCTTTCTTGAACTCAAGCCAAAGTTTGGTTCGAGTTCGGTTAGAATTTCGAACCGAACTCAAACTCAAGCCAAAGTCCAGTTCGGTTCAGTTCATAGGAACACTAGTCTCCAGCTTACAGCGTCATCACTGAGCCGAAGTCTATTAAGAGAGTTCAAGAGTTTGTCAATCTCAGTTTGAGTTTGAATTTGACAAACATTTTCTCAAATGCGAATATTAGGTGTGCTGGATATGGCGATGCAGATAGCGTTGCAATGAATATAGTTGGTGTCAAATATTGGACATTATTCGGATCACCTAAAGTTACTGCGAGAGGGATCGAACAAATCTTGTATAGCTGTGCTAGTGCAGTTAAAGCTAGCGTGAAGATTATCAAATTGCAATATAATAGACAGAAACAAATTAGTGTAATGAATATGCAAACCATTCTGGCGCAATAGTATATTGAAAGGCTAACCTTAATATTACTAACATGGATCCTTGGTGGGGAGGAGTCAAATATTCCTAACAATAGCATATTAGTAAGCGAGAATAGTCTTTGGTTATCAGCAGGGGGTAACTTTACATAGGGTGTTAATTCTGATGCACAAACTTCTGGTGTCATTGGTATAACATTGAACATAATAATCAATTTTGATAGTAATGCTACCAATGATTATCGGAGAGATGGTATCGGAAACCTGACTCTACTGCAACAATAGAAAGAGAAGAGCTCAACTGAAGAAGGCATGAGTCTTATATTCCAACATCAGTGGACTGATGTCATGGTCAATATGATGTCTCCTACTAAATAAGCTATAGTCACTGGTCCCACTCAATTTGTGATAGAAAAAATATATTATGACATACGATTTGCCATATAGTACTATATAGTCATTGTCAGACTCCTAATCTTATTGTGTGTATATTGTTACAAGTTTGTTCACTAATCGTTAAATTAGCTTATAAACGAGAACCTGGGTTGGGAGAGGATATAAACTG